CTGGGTGATTTGAGAAAATGCGACTAGCCAATCAGCGCAAAGCTGACAAGCTTATGTTGTAAACATAACCCCCCGACGGGAGGAATTTGCACAGCAAAACTCGACCCAGTAGAGTAGGCTGCCTGTCATTTTATTCCATCTGAAAAATCGAAGCTAAAACGCAAAGAGAAATTGAAAATCTTTATAAAATAGCTTTTAAATGTCAATCAAATATTTATCGTTATAGAAATAGAATTTTATCTTAAAAATGAAATAACAAATAATTTTTTCTTTAAGACAACGAGACTCCCCTCCCTGATAAAAATAATTGTTCTGTGTTCTGCGCGGGTTCTYCATTGCATGCGAAGCAATGGCCGACTTCAAGAAGACTTCAGAAGGTCGTTGAACCGACGTTGAAGTCCAAAGTATGTTTGGAGGAGACATTGCAATCCTTTTTCTTAGCTCTTGTTTCCTCTAAGCTTTGAGGTATCTACAACATTACTGGAAGAGCTAGAGCAGCTTAAAGCGTTTAATATTTTTGGTACAAATCAACTGTCGTAGTTCATCCTTTGTCGCATTTTCGGCAATAAGCCGCAAGCGTGCTCGACGATTTGACGCTATGTAACAGGTCAGTTACACATTTACTAGCTTTGAACTTACTATACAACGAGAGCTAGAACGATGACTGGGGTTTTTCGTGTAATGTCTTGATAGCGACTGTTTATGTCGAAACGACTCAAAACAAAATTCCATCGTGAAAAAAGTTCCCTTCTGAAAAACACGTGTGTATTTAAGGTGGAAAATTTTTCATATGAGCATTCCGATGCTTAAAGTTTTATTTCTATAATAATTTTGTTTAGTTATGTAAATAAATTCGGCACGACTTGAACTGTTTGTTTGAGTGAAAGGCGAGCTGCGGGTTTTCCCTTTTCTTTATTAACACTTTCAAATATGACCGCTTCACAAAAATGCACGGGCTCACTGGCTTACAACCTTGGCGAATTCATATGCAGGCCTGGTCGCAAATCAATCACCCAGATACAAAATAAGGCCGGAGAGCATTTAAGGATACAGATCTCAGAAGGGGGTACGTGCGCAACCCCTACACCCACCAGCTGGATCCGCTGCTGGGATTCTATGTAGGTGGTAGCGTTGCAGAATGGTTGTTCTAAACCAAACTTTTGAACGCCCATTTTTAAAGCGATGATACGGCGATCAGCATAACATCATAACATCAGTACTCGACGTCATATAACTTGTTTTGGTAGATGATTTGTACTTACATGATTGTACGTATATCTCACATCAAGACAAGGCACACCAGCCAAGTTATAGAACGGAGCGTAGTCACTATCCATCCCAAGCTTCAAAATTCTAAAAATACATCGATTACATCATTATTTAAAAAAGTAACTATCGATCTATGCCCCTGTGCCTTCTTCAAAGGTAACTGGTAAACGATAATGGGGATTCTTGCCTTGTCAAGAGACGGCAAACAAGCAGTTTCGTTTGGGGCGTTCAAAAACTAAAAAAACATAGAAGTAATATATTTTCTGTCCACAAGATGGAAAGGAATAGTACATTTCCATTCTGATCATGATCTTCAACAGATTACTGCAGTTCATAATCACTTTTCTTTCAAGATAAATTTTACTTGCTATCACCTTAAATCTATTCGGTTTTTGTCTTTTCAAGTCGGTGTCTGAATCAAGCAAACAGGTTTTTACAATTCCCTATTCCCTAATACTTACTTTGGTAAAGACGGGTCGTTTCGTYTAGGAGTCTTGCGAATCCACTCTTCAAATACAGTCTCATTTCCATCAGGAGAAATAACCTATAGAAAACAACCCCAATATTTTTAAACGTATGACTTTAATACACAAAGAGAATGGATAACTGGGCACTTTGTATTCTAGTCCGTGCACTTTTGCTTTTGAASTCTTCACCCCATCGGAAAGTTCCTCATCTGCTTACAGCAAACAGTGAAAGCAAAAAAGTATTTTCTTTACCCTCTTCGCCGCTTCCATKACGACCTGTTCTAGGATAGGGAATGATCTTGCTCTAAAAGTGTAATTTCCTGAAACGGAATGATACTAATCAAGAAGGAATAAATAATCATATGCTGATTTGAGATTTTGGATTGCGAGCTGGGAGAGATTAAATTTTGAGCTTGTGCCAATCTTCCCAAGTCTCCAACATGTGGACTCGGCAGACAAGAGCTTCTGGGTCCTCCGGGATGCACACCTATAAATGTTTGGGTTTTTGACGATGACTGTTCACTTTTAACTGCATTCATCAAACTTACCATCTATTGCTTGGTCCACATTCATGTAAGCTATAACACGAGCCTTGATAATTTCTAAGTGTTCCTAAAAGAGATGAGAAAATTTCAATGAATATACCAAGCTTATAAAATTTGGAGTGAATAACGTTATCCACCCTTCAGTACAATCTCAAGGTGCTGCTGGATTTCTTTTTACCTCGACCCATTCAGTTGATCCAATGACGCCAACTTCTTCAGCATCCCAGCTGCCAAATACGATAGTCCGTCGTGGCTTCCAACCTATAAGATATAATCATGGCTAATTCAACATTCAGCAGTATCCAAATGATAAGAATCTTAAAGGTGGATCTACACGGTACGATTGTCGCGTTTGATTTTTCTACGACAAGATGTCGTAGGATGTTAAGCAGTGGCTCAAAATCCTACTACAAGTCGTAGGTTTGGTACGACTGTTGTAGACAAGTCGTAGGGGCATTTACACAGCGCGATTTGGATCTCATTTAGGTCATATGCTATAAGTATATGATATATATACTCATATACTCTTTACTCCGACGAAGGATTAACGCCGGTCCGAAACGTCAGTAAGTTATTTCACATACTTTTTTTACGGTGTTAAATTTATCTTTTTACACCACAATATACTATAAGTCGGACGTGGCCGTGGAAATCGTATCGTGTAATATAGAGATAATGCCCCAATAAACATAWCCATCTTTTGGGTATAGTTGTGCTTCACCGGTAGTCACCTTTTTTCACAAGATCACCAAGAACACGAGCCAGTTCCATTAGAACAGCCGTCCCACTCGCCGCGTCCGTRCCACCGTAAACCCATGCGTCTCTATGGTTTCCMACGACAACAATGTGATCTAAAAAATACTTATACTTTATTGMTTTTCGAATCGAAAGTGAATGTGRCGGRCGACTCCCGTTTGACCGCCTAATTTGGAATTACTATTGCTGTGACGTCACCATACCTGGTTCCGCGTGACCTCTAATGTAACCAATCACATTATAGATGTCTCTTCTTATTAATTGAGTGTTAACTTCAAGTGTCACCGTTCTAGTATCACTTGGATCAGTCTGTACGCCATAGTCGATTGGTAAATCACCTTTCCAATAAGGTCTTGGGAGCTTTCCAGTCAACGTACTAAAATACAATACAAAGTGGGATTTCATTGGATAGAATCTCGATCAGTGCGGGACTGGGCGAGAGTAACCTTTAAATAGCTAGGTAATATGCAGCAAAGCATGATGGTAGTTGTAGTCCTCGCACTTTTCACAGCCCTAAAATATCTCATTAAAAGCCGTTTTTATAGTTTTTATATTTTCTTTTTAGAAGCGGCACAAATACTTCTATTTTCGCTCATAAAAAGCAAAAACTGGTTAGAAGAACTGTTATAGCGGACACAAAAAAGTACGACGACTACGATTACTATCATCCTTTGCTGAACAAAATGGCGTCGCTGCACATTTCCTATTGGGCTATGGTGAACCGCATCGCCCATTTAACCACTGAAGCCCAATTCTACCAAAAATGAATGCTTTTCTTCGCTGTTCACACTTTTTGCTTCGATACGACCAACGGTTTTCCGTTAACGTGTCAATTCTCTTCAAGATAGCTGGTCCACAATATTCATAATTAGCCTTAGCCTCCTTTGCAGACGTTTATTAGTATCGGTAATAGTAGAGGTCATACGAAGAGGGAACGTACACTAATAGCGTCTGCAAAGGAGGCTACATTCTGCCACTAAAGCAGCAAATGGATAGCTGCAACCCTCAAAGGTATACAAATCTAGTAAGATATAGTCAAAACACAGATGGCTTACCTCAAAAGCCTTTGAGCGTCACCATACGATATTGGAAATACAGGAATCTTCGGTAATAAGTGAAAATCGTATAAAGAAGTCACAGAACGACGGTAGATGCCATCTAGAAAATCAACCATTAAGAATATACCACATCACTGATATATTTATTCATATTGGATAAGGTTTAGATAAATATGAAGAAGATTGGTAAGAAAATCGATCGATAGATAACTGGTGATAGAAACCGTAGGTCGTACGCGGATAATAGCCTCAGATGTTTTCATATTGCTTTAAGCTATAGCCGCGCGAATTTATCGTCCAGATAGGTGATGACTTTCAATATCATCTAATAATGCATGATATTGTTAATATTTCTTGATTTTGTTGCTGATATTTTTGGTTGATATTTCACTAAACTTTCAATTTTTATGAAATTGCTGGCTGTGCTCGAAGATACTTTAATAATCATAATTTCAAAGTATTCGAATGATTTGCGGTCTGTTTTAGCGAAAAAGGCAGCTAAAATTGCATGAAATTACCCATGATACATCAGTGATATGATGATTTATGATATCAGTGTCAAAACATTTTCAAATGACTGTATTTGTTGAAGTCATCAAATTTTATATATTAATGATATGTTCCTATAGCATGAAATTGAGATGTGAGTAATATTTCAAAATATGAATGGCGGCAATAAACGTCATATCGAAATTACCCACGATGCATCCGATATAACGATATATGTTATCAGTGCCAAAACATTTGCAGATGTATGTATTTGTTGAAATTATCAAATGTCATGTATATAGCTTTTTCAAAAAAGGTTGTCGGATAAAATGGCGAATGGGTTGTCAATGGTCAAACGGCGATTACACGACCCAAAGTTGCCATGGGTTTATAGTTTGATTGTTTAACAACTGATTTGTATTGTAAGATGGGCTGTGGTAAACATTGGCTCCATTAAGTCTCCATTTCTATGTAAGGTGAATCAATCCAATAAGTGCAATTTTGTTTAAAAACAGTGTAGCCAACGTCCTTTTCGGTCGTGCATTCTCCCTTCGACAATCGCCGTTCGCCGTCATCGACCCGAAAACGTTTTTTGAAATAGCTGTATATGATGTGTACCTATAGCAGGAAATTGAGGTGTGAGTAAATCTCCTCCACCCTTCGCTCTTTTAACACTACCACGTGCTACAGCAGTGCTTGGTAACCAATTGTAGTCAGGGTAAACTTTATCTATGCCTTCTACCGCAAAGTCTTTTGGGTCACCATATATAATCACTCCAAGAGCGCCATAATCCTCTGCCCAATCTACCTTGAAAATACCAAAATATAGATGGTTTTTCTTGGAGAACATTGTACAATGTTTAAAGGCAGGATTGCTCTTAAAAGAGCATTTATTTAAGTGAGACGGTCGATAAGATCAAGATGATTGTGCCTGTGAATTATCGTTGCAGATATGTTAGTAACTTGGAGCCCGCTTCTGTTTCGTTTTAACGGAAAATCCATTGCTCATACAGAAAATGTCGCTGATGGGAAATAGACTTCTGAAGTCATGTACCATATACGCAATGCATTATAGGATATGTTTAGGACAAAACATGGTGGATTTCTGTTATTTTTCTTTTCTAGAAAATGATCCCACAATGCAGTGGATGTCAAGAAGTGACGTAGAAGGTTCAGAAGTCCTAAAATCAAAACAATGACAAAATACAGAACTTGCGCTTCACCTTTTTAGTAACCTCTAGTTTAATTGCAAAAGCCGGCGAAAGTACTTCAGCTTTTTTAGTAACCTCTAGTTTAATTGCAAAAGCCGGCGAAAGTACAGTAAAAAGGTGTGGTGCTTTGGATATGTGTGAAAGACTGATTTGAATTTCCCCAAAAATGATGATGGCTGGGGCTGAAAAACATAAGCAAAACGGAATTCATATGAAAGCAGGGAAGATGCGCTGGGTATGCAGCCTTCCTTCTCGGCAGTGCCTGTTTACATAACATAACAATAAAAACGCATTTTACGGCGTATGATCGAGATGTATTATTTAAACATAACATATCCCACATGTTTCAGCTGAAATACTGCATACAATTATCTAGGGCTGAGAATAATGCATCTTTTGATTGTACCTTATATTTCAAATGATTCGTTTTTGGGAATGTAAACTTACTTTCTTTCCTCTCCCTCCATTTCCGTATCTGACGATGACTATCTTTCCAGTGACATTGATSCCTTGCTCTGCTAGCTTTTCGTAATCTCGTTCACGGCCAAAGTACGCATACACGAGCCTTCCCTATGACAATGTGAGCAATGTGAGATCAGGGGCGGATCCAGAGGAGGTGCTTTGGGTGCGGACGAACCCCCCCTTTTTGGACGACGTATTTTTTTATATATACTATAAACGTTTCTTTTTTTCTGCTGTTTATAGTACTACTGTTGTACTTCTATGGAGAAAACGAGTAGCACACACAACATAAGTCTGCCACTATGCTGCTCAACAATCTATTTGAGTAGTGTAGTCAAAGATACGTTGCAATAAAAGCCAATTTATTGCTTCCGGTCAAATTGTGCATAATTTTCTTGCTGTACACAGCTAACAAAAATAATCAGTTCCATCTGCTATACTTTARCTATAGCTATATATTACTGACAAAAGCACCCCCCACCCCACCCCCCATTATAAAATGCTGGATCCGCCCCTTGAGATGCAGGATATTTCACTGTTTTATGACTATCTAGCCTTAAGTCCTCTTCTACACTAATTCTTCAATTACCGTCACTTTTCCAGAAGGCGAAAATCCACTGTAGGGAGKGGTGACTGCGGAATTATTCTCTGATGGTTCCAGAACTTTTTCGAACGTACTCGTTCGAAAAATCTCGGTGCCTGATTGGTCATTTATGGTAACAGAACCAGGCATTGTGGGTACTGACAAAAGAACGTTATATTTCTTCATTTCTACTTTATCAAATCCAAARCCACGAAACTGGGTCTCGATTTCTTGGCCTTGTTTAATGCATTCATCAGAACCACCAAAGTGTGCTGACATGGAGAAATACCTAAGAGAATCGAAAATATTTTAATATAAGTTGAGAATAGTCGTCTCTGAATTCAAAGTAGGTATTTAAGATCGACTTCTGAAGTTCTTACGTCATCTTCTTGATTTGCAATGCATTGTGGGATTAGTTTGTGAAGAAAACAAAAGAAATCCGCCATGTTTTGTCCTAAACGTTTCCCATAATGAATTGCATATGCGGTATATCACGTAAAACCTTTGGTCTCTTTAATATTTTAATGCATAGTGTTAATCTGTCGTTGTTCATTAAACTCGACATTTTACTTCGAAATTTGCACTGTTTAATAATTGAAGTTTTGAAGTTGCGCGCACGTCACAAGTAAATGCACTTAAAATGCGCAAAGTCAAGTCATTCCAGGGACATGGTCCACCAGCATCCCTTTCGAGCTTTTGCTCATGTTTTAAAGTAAAAATACATCTGAATATAAGCAAAGACTTTCTCTTTATTATCTCTTTATCACTATATAAATGAAGATATTGCAAGATTTGATCTTTAAACCGATGTTTGGAAACGGATTGCGAATGGATATTTGAAGTCACCTCATTTTCCATATATGAAAAATCTAATACACGACCGCATTGAACGATGGAGGGCCATGTCCCTTTAAAAAAATTAAATTAAATTACCAATACTTACTCCAAATAACTTTTAATGCTCTCGCCTGATATGTCATCCATGGCTTCTTTATGGAGTTTTGTTAAATTTAATATATGTTCAGTTAAGTCCCGCTTAACGCTACTTTCATTTGCAATCTCACTAAAGCACTTTGATAAATATACCAAGAGGATCAGGGCTGTCCACAATGCATTGCAGTTTATGRACGTTTTGATTTTCCTGAAAATTGTTTTAATTTCAATCTGTGAAGAAACAAAATGAAATTTTACCCATGGCAGTTTGATCATAAGAATAGAAAAAATATCGCTTTCATTTTTAGTTGAGTATTGATGCCTCGGTCCATCTCCGTTATGCCATTGGGGTATACAGTAGCTAAAATCTATGTTCAAGCCCATTTAATGTCCTAATAATTGTTGTCAACGTGATCTATGGCAAACCAGAAGATTCTGTGTTTGCCAGTCACAGTGACGCAGTCTTCATGTCTTCTTTTTTGATTGCCTTGAGACCCCTACCTGTCTCTCAAACTGTGTTTTTATTCAAAGAGGAGGACATGCTTTGCCGCTCGCGCGCACAAGAGAAAAAAAAAGAAATTCAGAAAATTAAAAAGAAAGAAAAWTGTCGCTTGATTTGGTGTCTGCATTTTAAACATTCTGCAGCAGTTCCGACATCAACATACATATCATGATATTATTGGCCATGGCAATTGAACATTGTGCTTAAAAACTTAAAATGGTATTGAAATTTGTTGACCATTAGATTAATAACTGTAAAAAATGAARAAAAAGGGAGGAAGGGATGTCTTAATGGCTTAAATATCAACAAAAGAGCTTGCTTAAAACAACTAATTTCCTCAGCCATTAGTAATAGCCGAAATCTTTATGAAACTAAAAACAAAAAAAATATTCTTAAGTGAATTTTCAAGTGGTGATCTTGCATGTCTGTCAGGTTTACATTTCAGTTCCTTACTGGTGATCCACGAGAATGATAGATACACGGTAAGCACTGCTTCATTGGCATATAATCAGTTGATTATATCGAGTATTTGCTGTTCAATATCACCAGTGTTTGGCACCGGTTTTGTGYTTACATATCATTTCAAATAATTTAAAAATATGATAAACAATCATATCTATGTACTCGACTTACCATAATTATGTCACCTAGATCAAAATATTTTGACTGACGCCTAAATTTCTATAAATCTTCTTTCTYTCTAAGGCTGTTTCAGCATTTTTTAAAACGGGTTATAGCCTGCACATAGTGACACTATTTAACAGAGAATTTGAATTCAAAGCCATCACATAGGCAGGTATTTTCTTTTCATTTGACCTTCGATCGACTTAGTTCAAGATATGCTCTCCATGGATTTAAATTCGTTAAATATTGATTGCTTTGTTGGGATGGGTCGTTGCACCATGAAGATTTATTTACACAATAACGCAACCAGCATTTTTTCTCAAGGTTCAATAAATTTGTAAAGGATTAAAATGCTAAAAACATAATAATGATCGAAATAATGCTACAAAACTTCGAATTAAGTAGTTGAAACTACATGTTAAGTTTCATTCCTCCACAAGTTCGACATGTAACGAAGTGCAATYTGTATTTTTGGTGTAGCTATGGAACGTTACCCGGCAAAGGGGAGGATGCTGTCTGAGCATGTGGTCGGAAGCCGTTTTGTCTTAAATATACTCATGTTCTTAAGCACAGTAATGACAATTTCTCAATCGAAACAGAATACTCGGAACAAATATGTCTATTAATGCACTCGTAATGGCTRAAACGGCGCCAGTCTTCATTTTAGTGACAAAACAATTAAAAAGTTATACATGAAAGGAGAAAACTGAATTGCTGTAATTTTGGCCTCCCGTTGCGAAATTAAGCATGCATTATATTTCTTTAAGTGCTGGGCTTTCTTTATSAAAGTTCCGTAACAAAACCGGTCCAATGGTGCATTATATATAGTCTGTGAATGTTATCATAATGTCTGAAAAAACTTATTCTAGCTATCTGGAGAAAAACTTCAAATTCTAGGTTAAAMGCGCGGAGARGGAAGCGCAGGGCTGTCGTTCMCAATGGAAGCATGGTCCTCTAAAATCTGTCTGTTGCGAATCAGAAAACACGTCCAATCTGACATATAAAATTCAATGGTTCATTGATAATAAGCAGAGAGATCTGGCTAACAGTCTAATTAGACTATGCATCAAAAATTTAAATATTAGTGTAGATTTGTTTATATAACGCGGATAAATTGCAATATTGTCACGAGAAATAGACGATTGGAACTTTAGTAAAAAGAAATGTTGTTTTTACGTTATATTTGTTTCATTTATTTGCGTGATTGTTGACAGCGTCCAATGTCAATTCGTCGCCATTTTGAAATCCGAGAAAAGACTGGGCAACAATCACGAAATTTTCAAGAATTGTCTTATCTTTAGAAATTTCCCTAATATTACTTTAGTATTTTGTAAATATTGCAAAAGAAAACCTTGAAGCTGCGGATGGATATAAATGAACTTTTTTAATTAAATTTTTAATCTGAATGTAATAATTGGATTAAAAGAAAGATTTTATTGTCAAGTTCTTCTTTTTGTCCGAAATAATTGAGTAAAATAATCGATGTTCAATTATAGCTATCTTTTTTTTCGCGAATTTTAGATCGACAGTTTTTTAACCGAAACATTTTAAGCATTTTCCCGCCATTTTTTAGTTGCCAAGTGAAATTATGACGCGCTGTCATGACCTTATTTAGTGACGTAGACAATGGGCTTCCAAATAAGGAGCGTGTATACATAAACCTAATGCTCCTTCAAATGTGAGGCGCTCAAAAAAACTTWATTTATTCGTTGACTTTGGACTAAAAATGCCTTGTAAAACGAATATATCAAGTGGTTTTATAACTTAAACTTCTGCACTGGCCTTGTAAGCTATTCATTTTTGCAATAGGTGGTATTTTATCGTGTTTTGCTGGGGAAATATGAAGGAACGYCGCGAGAGAAAAACTTGGTAAAACATTTGGCACGTTGTGAACACTTTACATTGCACGGTCTCTATTAGACCTCAACTGCTCACTGGAAATAATCCTCTAGCTTATCCTCATTAAGGGCAAGTATGGAGCAAGAGGTAAGTTTACAGTTATTCAATATCTTGATGTGACGGCAAAAGGTCGAAGTTAATTTAGTCCTGAAATTTCATACGCCAATGATTGCCTGCAGTTTAACACATGCTTTTGTTTAACACTTCGCCTCTTTTCTTGTTTAATGGTGTGTGCAAAACCTTTGATATTGCTTTATGTTTTAGCAACAGGAGAAAGACTTGCCTAGAGTTACAGAAGAAGCGATATTAGACAGTCTGTTTTACGCTTGCGATACGAAGGGAACCGGCTTTGTAGCTGTGTCGAAGCTGATCGAGTATYTGAGATCGGCAATCGCCTCGGATACAGATAATAACAACGTTGAGGTAGGTCCATTTGGATTTCTAAAGAAGATTCCCTTTATCACCTAGAAAATACCCGTAGCAAATTCACAACAACTAACGATAATTTTAACGGAAATACCGTTTCATTAATCATGTAAATATACGCTAAAATCTTTGTTTATTTTTCTTGTTGTCTTTACCTTTATATATCTCGGCATAAACCCCAACCTTGTCAGTCAGGGAAAGAGTCTGATTAAGTTTTAGAAGCTGGTAAAAGCTTAAGTGCAATCAAGAGTTAATGTTTTGATATCATCGTGACTGACTTAAAACGGCAAAATTGAATGTGAGTTATATAAATAATGTGTGAAATGATATGATCGAGATTTTTGTCTCCAGAGTATAGATTATCATGTCTAAATGGCTCCATACATTCTCAATCTTATCTACCATTTCCCATTTTCCCACAAGAAACAATAACATCATTCAAGTAAGGTTAAAATATCTAATTTTTGCGTGAGATGCATCATGAAATTTACATAAATATACATGAAAACACAATTTGTAAATAATGGAAATTGACATCGCAACTTTCGAACCTTTAATCATACAAGTTTTGAATATTTAAGGTTTCTTTTTCGCAGGTGGCTATTTTACTTTAGGATATTGGTAACTTTGATAGGCCTAAAAAAATAGATTCAATTATTTGATATCTCTTACTTATTTTGTAAATTATGCATCTTGTATGTAAGATAAACAGAACTTGCATTTTTTTTTACATTTGTCACAATTGAATTTTATTGCAAAAGATCTAATATGAAATATCTAAAAAATCCATTGATTTTCAATGACACTAAACCCAAACCAGTCCTTTGTTTTTTATTATAATAACAATTGAATTTTATTGCAAATAAGATCCAATTTCAATATATCTTAACAATCATCCATTTTTAATTTCCCATGACATCTGACCCACACTAAGCATATATTGAAGTTGTGGTATATAATATTGATAATATTTATAAGTGTTTTTGTATTAGTCTCTCACCATCAGGCCTTTCATGAATATGATTATATGAAAAAGTCTTTTTTTATGCAGGCCTTCAACTTCTAAAACCAAAATATTATTATTATCTACATAGGAGGATACTGGTATGATTGAACCAGGTTTTCCCCATCTTATTTTAGCAAATTTGGTGATCTAAATGCAACGCATTGACAAGTAAATAAGCACCATGATTGCATAATAAATAAAAGTTATATTGAATAATTTCAGATGTCGTTTAGTAAAAATGTTTTGATTGGCAGGTCGTATCCATTGAAACTATGGACGTTATTTTCTGATTATTTAAGATGATTAAAGTCCGTGTAAATGCTCTGTATTTTCAGGTATCCTAATTATCAGCATGAAAAATAGTATAAATCATGATTGATCCTACTAAAATTAGAAAAAAATGAAAAAAATTGGGTTGGGGTAAGCGGAGGAAAGAGGAAGATATATAAAATTGTTCAGATTATAAAATGTAGTTATATGATTTCAATTTTTCTTTGAACTTTTGATTTGGATTTTCTAAATACTTAAGACTAAAATGGTTTAGACCGTAATGTATTTACTTCAAGTTATACTGCACCTGTGTAAATGCAATGTAGCTGAAAGTATTCTCAAACTGTTATTCTTTCCGTTATGAATTTTAAGAACTCCTGTAGTTGTTTATATTCATGAAACATCACTTCCTTCAAAGACAAACAGTGTTTATTTAAGGTGTTCAAYCCTTTCCAACTCTCTCTTCCTGGTATCAGGTTACCATGGACTCATTTTTCACCTGCCTGGAGATAACAAAGAATTGAATTGTTGCTTTATAATATATTTGTTTTAATCTGTGGATAGATATTTTAATCTGTGGATAAATATTATTTTTAAAAATAGGAAACCATACATGACTGTAATATTAGTATAACAGAACCTGTCCTACACTTGCTTGAATGTGCACATAAAACAATGGCTTAGTCCAAGTTTTCAGCTGGAGTTTTCTACAAAAGACCAAACTCCAGTCTTGACTAGAARCCATTGTTTCGTGTTCATCCAAGRGCSTTTGGACTGGTCTATTATAGATATTATTATATTATAATTGTTTATTAGAAATATTACTGACTATTCTATTATAYAATAATTAATATAATGATTTGCTAAGAATCTAATTTTAATTCTATACTACAAATAAGTTTTTTCAATTTTTATCATGCACATAGATTAAAATTTTTTGAAATACTTATTAAAAGAGTATCGTCTGTTATATAATGATTTAAAACTGACCCTGATTGGTCAACAATTGTGCTTCTAAGCGTTAAGAGCACAAAGCATTATTTACCTTAATTATTTGAGCTAGCCTGCTGTGTTTGGTAGCAATTTGGATAGCTGTAGGCACAACTCTCGGTATGTGAGAAGCACTTAACTTTGTATTATTTTATCACACTTTTAGTAACTATAACAACTCATGTTTTTTTTTTCTATGACCTGTTTTCTAGTTTATAGAGCAGGAACTGGTGAATATAATTTTTTATCATATAATTATCTATGAAATACGTCTATATTTCTCCATTTCATAAAATTGATATTTTCACTAGTGAAAATAACACTTACGAGGTTTCTCTATATAATATTCAAGTAAGAAAATAGGTATTTTTACGGGCATAATTTGCTTTGATATAAAATTATATGATAAAAAGAATATTACATGTTCGCTYGGGGATACRAATTTTATCTTCTTGTGTTGAAAATCTCTCACTGGTTTAATGYTAACGYTCACTCGTGAGAGATCTGTTCAACACTCGAAGATAAAATCTGTATCTCCGCTCGCCCATGTAATATCCTCTATATCTTGTTTTTCAGTTTGTTGATAACCTAGATGATCTGTCTTTGATCCTTGATCCTGAAGGACAAGATGTCCATATCAACATTTCCACTTATCAATCAGGGATCAGTGAATGGATTGAAGATATACGAAARCGAAGGTGCAGTTGGTTTCACCATTCATTTATTTCCATTTTCATTCATTTATTTGCTTATTTGTCTATTAACATTTCATTCATTTCATTTTTCCATTTAACTTATTTAAATTCATCCACTTTTGTTTTATTCATTCATTTTTTTAATGGTTATAAAATGAATGAACAAATGGACAAAATGAATGAGAGAGCAAATGTTGTCTTCTTGTCCATGTTGTTCGTTTGCTCATTTGTTATCTTATTTGTTCAATTCTTCATTTATTCACTTGTTCATTTTTTCATTTTTCATTTTTTTTTATTTGTTTGTTTGCTCACTTATTCATTTGTTTATTTTCTTACTTGGTCATTTGCTCATACCCATTTTTTCCACTCCTTTTTCTTGTTTATATTATTTATTTGTTATTATTTATTTACAAAAAAATGTAGTTTGTTATCTTGGGCTAATAATTTGCTTGTTCACATCACTTGGTTTACTCATTTTATTTTCTTTGTTTCAGTCTTGCTAGTGTAGATGATGATTTCCTTTCATCTATGTCAATTAATTGCGCTGTATGTAGTTTTGTTTTAGTTAATATATAAAATAAGTATTTTAATTAATAACATTTGGGAATTGGGGAAAAAATCTGCTTGTGCGAGGGTACTGTTAGTGGTAAAAGAAAAGTTTATTCAGTTACATGTATTTCAAAGTGTCACTCTTGTGCAATGTATGATGGGGTTGGGTTGGCATGGAAACCTCACAAACTATAATATTGATTGTTAGTTATATTGTTGTTCTCAAAAAAATGATTGGTTGATTGATAGGTCGATTGATTGATTGATTGATTGATAGGTTGATTGACTATTTGATTGATTAACTAATATAAATTGATTGATTGATTGATTGATTATAGTCCCCATCATCACCTTTACTACAGCCCTTTTCCGATGAACGATGCCACAGTAAGTCATATTGAAATAATTTTCAATTGTTATATAAATTAAGTGCATAAATGAAGTGTATCAACTGAATTAAGGCTTTGAATTAAAAATATCATTCAGTTGTAGGAATAAATTATGTAGCTCAATCAGTATTCAGTGATTTTATTGATATTATTTAAAATATATCATTAATTGTTATTATTTGTTGTAAAAATAGTTCAAACTCTAATGCTTTCTTATGTGTGGTGATTTATAGTAACCAGTACACCCAATATGAGTTCTAACAGCGTAGAAGGTCTTGGTGGTGAATCACCTTTGAAAAATGACAGGTACATGCATATTATAAGCAGAAATGGCTGGAGATGGGAAGGAGGGGTGAGGGGAGATCTACTAGTCTGTCTTGAGGTCACAGGGAGGAGAGAAGCAGGGAGGAGAAAAGGAGGATTTAGAAATGGTATTGATATTTAAAATTTGTAGAAGATACATGTAGAATATGCAAAAAAAGTAATGACCTATTTTCAGATTGAGATGAGATTGGGTTACCTGTGGTGACACCTACTGCAGCTGTACTTTCTGTGATATTGTTGCCAGTTGGGCTCATTTGTAACTCAACAATATTCCACCGTCCTACATGGTTTTTTAATCAATGGTTTTTTAATCAATGGTTTTTTAAAAATCTTATTTGTTCGTTTATAGTGAGCGAGCTGCAGAAATGACTTCAATCATAGAAACCCTTCAATTGAATAACAAAAGATTAATGGAGCAACATGCTGTCATACAAACACAGGTACCAACAATTCTTTACATGCTATATGTTAAMCTGTTTTCGTTTTTAAAATCACCTCTTTCGACACACTACACCAAGACTTTGAATGAAACATGTTTCGTCTATTAGACCTTTTCAATYGTCTAATAGACGAAACATGTTTCATTCAAAGTCTTGGTGTAGTGTGTCGAAAGAGGTGATTTTAAAAACGAAAACAGTTTAACATATAGCATGAAATTTACAAACTCTTTAGTGATCAGATTTAAAAAGATTTCTAGAACAATTCTTTAATAATTTATTAATTCATTAGTCTGAGTGAATTAATTAATTGATGGTATTTATTTAGAGCGGATTTCGTATGAGTGGGAAACGGATGGTACTGTACTGTGACCGTAATCGTACTGTAACCAAATTCTAGTGCCCCATTGGTTCATCAAAATTTTGCAGGCCAGGTCCGGTAACTGTGCGGTAACCGTGCGGTAACGGTGTCCCACTCATACGAAATCCGCTCTATAGAGTGCTATAGTTATGCATAAGTCGGTAGTCTTCACAGTTCCCTGCGTCATCTTGAAAGGTAACCATGCTGCTGCATCTAAGAGATACAGCCCTTGTGCGTGGAATGATAGATACCTTCTTTTACAACAACAGGCAATTGTAAGGTATTCATTGCAAGCTGAAGGGTTGTCTCCCTTCGATGCAAAGGCAAGGTACCTTTTAAGATGGCGCAGGGAACTGCGAAGAAAATTCTAGTCACCTTTAACCTCAACTTGCTGGGTGGGAAAATTTCATGACTGTATAAATCCTAAAGGCCTGGCAATTACAGGACTTAACCATTGTGAATTGAAAAGGTACTCTCTTGGTATTGCTAGGGTATTGGGGATGATAGTTTCAATTTATTGATTCATTACCATTCATGACATACGCTAGCAGACACAACATGTACATTATGTATAATGTGATTTTTCGTCAGATGGAGCAGACAGAAGATAGTAATACACAGCTCCAAACAGAAGTTAAAGACCTAAAGAAGCAAATTCAAAGGTATAGAAAGCCATCATCTCTTTGACAAATATACAGAGGCATGGGAATACTGACAAGAGTATKCCACAAAGGAGGCTAGCTCATCCTCAACTATGAATGACTTTAATATGTCGTATTAGATTATCTTAAGAAGTTTTGTTTTGATTTGGATTTTATTGCTTTGATATCACAATTCTATTTTCTGTAAAACTTCAGTTTTCAGTCATTATCGTCAAAATGTAAAGAATTAGAGGCTGAAAATGCTGACCTTAGGCAATCTGGTAAGAGAATGGTCATTATCACTGATTTTTTCTTATTTTGACAATCTAATGAAGTTTCAAAGCTGTAGAAAAAGCTAATGAAGGACTTTTCCTTAATATAAACAATACTCGATTCATTGCCAATACAATATGTACTTTCTTTCACCCTRTAGTTGCAGAGTCCAAGGAAATCACCAGCAACTTCCAGAACGCAAATGCATTGATGGTAAGAGTGCATTTGTTGATAAGAGTTTATGCGAAAGTGCAGATTTTGTGACTGAATGATCTACTGTTATTCTTTTCCAATCAGATCAAAGAGAAACAGAATTTAGAAACTTGTATAGAACAGTTGCAGTCTAAAGTAAGTTATAGTACTTGTAGTTATGTTTTGCAATTCCTAATAAATCTATTACAGGTTTATGGGTTACATGTATGTACTTTGTATGTAACGCGTATTTGATCTTTTTTCCACCATGTTTCGCCTTTGCTTTGATTCTCGTTGTGCATGTGGGGAAGGGGGAGGGAAGAGGGAAAGATGTTGGTTGCTAATCGTCCTTCATGGCAGCACGGATGCTGAATTGCGAAAGACGCAGCTCGACGCGCTCTCGAGTCGAAATGCTATATCACAGACAGATTTTACATACACTTACACATAGGCGTGCTGCTTGCTAGGCGCTTCCTTTACATAGCAACGAACGACAGAACGCGGAGCACAGCAGATCGAAACTTTTTCTTATTCTTTTTTTCTTGACTTCTTAGTTGGTTTCAACGCAAGTCCATCTGGAAGCTTTGCAAGATGAAAGACGAGCTTTGAGTGAATCCCTCGCCATTCAAAAGGTAGAAAGAACCACTCGTCATTTACCCACCATACCGACACTAACACACACTCGCATCCCTTCTTTTACAGTTCTTCAAAATTTGTCATTGTACGTACATGTSTTTKCTATCGATATTTCAATCTTTCAATKTATTGATGYTTACAGCAAGTGAATATGAGGCTCGAAGAAATTCGCAATGCAAAGGAGGACCTCGTTCAGGTAATGGTTGCTACCCAAATATTCCTCGCATCCAGCTCRTGACTAACGTTTTTCTACGTTGTTTGCAGGAATCGTCGTCAAAAACTGAGTATCTGTCTTCCGTTATCCACGAGTTATCTTTAGCTAATGAGGTATGCGAATTACAATATCTTTAACGTGTGGATGTAATGCACGTTAAACGGTACTTATGTTTTGCAGGATTTGAAAACAGAGAAAAATAAGCTTACTGAGGCTCTTTCTGATCTTAATGGGGAACTMTCCAGGTACGATAGACCTAAAGTATGAACAATATGATGCAACCTCCTCCCCCCTTCTCCCCCTCCCCCCCCTCCCCTCCCCGAATTTGATATAATAACACAACGATAGTTATTGCAACTCTGATGTCCGTAATAAAACCGACACTCTACGGGAATCATAATTTTGTTCAAGAACAATATCTTGTTATGATAAATGCATGTCCCTCGCAGTGCAAAAACAATTTGCGCACATCCCCAAAAGAACGGACTCATTTATAATCTTTTTCATCAATAGATTAAGAAAACAAAATTCACCGAGTCACCCTTCAAATTCACAAAAGCCAAGTAAAACAAGTACTCCAAGCAGGAAGCTTTTCTCACTTAAACAAGAACTAGAAGAACAACTGGTAAGCATTTAAGCGATTTTAACCTGYCATCAGGCTTTCAAGGGGGCGTTGTAGAAGGGGAAGGGGAAAACGAAAAAAAAAACCTCCTTTCTTTCTCCCTATATTTTTTCCCAGAAAGTCTCGGATACTTAAGGCCCGTTTACACTAAACTTGCAATTTTTTCGAAGCGCGATAATCGCCACTTTGATGTCGCGCAACTAAAATCGTACGTGTAAACAGCCCTGCGATTGTTGCGCCGATGGAAAATCGGCGCGAAGTTGCAGCCAATTTTCAAAAAGCAAAACTCAGGCGATGGTCGCGCGGCAATGGTCGCGCGGCAATGGTCGCGCGGCAGTGGCCGCCAGAATCCCTGTGCAAAAATCGCAAGTGTAAATGGGCCTTAATAGTTACTGAAAACTTATTAGATAAAACTCACATGTGATATTGATCAGGTATCGGATGCAAAAGATCTACCTTCACCGCTGATTGGTGCAAGCTTTCTCAACGACAGCCTGAATAATAGCATTGCTTCAAACCAATCTACTTTGGACTCAATTTTGTCATGTGACTCGAATAATTCTTCGCTTGAAAGCTACAGTATTATTGCGTCACAAGTGGTAAGCTAGAAACAAATACACATTGTAAACGTTTTCGTTCATCCATCCATTCATTCGTTCAATTTTCCACTCGCAAGTTCGTCTCTATCAACTAAAGCTTTAAACCGGACCGTTTCAAACGTCGGTCTTTTGTCGAGTCTAATCTAATTGGTGGAGTTGAGGTTATGAACATTTTGTACTCTGAATTTATTTATTGACATTAGTAGATTTTGTTCAGTTGGATAAACTTAATATATTCCGTAAATATCAATCGATGTAGACTGCAAACCTCTCGAGAACTACATGTAAGCAATTAGATTAGACGCGGGTAAAGATCGACGTCTGAAACCGGCCTAAGGGACAGTAAGGAAGTATGTAGCATCCGTATAATTATTAATTTGATTATTTTCAATTATTATTTTTTGATTGTTAATTTAATTGTTTATGATTATTTATAATTATTTGTATTTTAGGCAAATCAGTTCAAGGACAAGAAAGAAAGGGCATTACGACAAATTGAAGAGCTTGACAAATTAGAGAAAACACCAGAAATACAACAGAAACAATTAGTAAGTATAAGATTCACGCTGTAACAACCGCTCAGGAGAACTCATCGAAGCTTACTTCTTAGGTCTACCTTTCCAGATTATGCGCCGAACTTCACATGTGACGAATATACAAATCACAAATTAAATACATGTGAAGTGCGGAGTATGAATCAATCAAGTTCGACCGTGTTGGAATTTAATACAATTTCAGTCAAATATGCGACTGAAGCAGTTGAAGTTATAAGGAAAGGGAGCGGCAGTTTATTCATACGTCGCATCTCACATGTGYAGAATGCAATGCATACTTCTTCTGGCCCGTTAACACTTGAGATTTTTACAGCGCGATAATCGCCACTTTGYTATCGCGCAAGTCAGATCGCACGTGCAAACAGTCCTTCAATTGTTTCGACGCGAGGTTTCAGCCAATTTTCAAGCATGTTCTAAACTCAGGAGATTAATACGCGACAATCGCCGCGAGAATCGCTCTGCAAAAATCGCAATTGTAAACGGGCCTTTATAATACTTCGCATGAAAAATGTGTCTGTGTTATCCGCCATGTTGGAGAGGGGAGTAGAATTTATATTCAACATTTATAATTCGATTYCATTATTGCTGCAGCAACTTAAAAATCAGTTTGACAAGGACGTGGAACAGTTTGCTGAAAAGGTGAACATCCTTAAYTTAAAGAAGAAAAATGCCGAGAAAMGATCTGCGAAACTATTGGTCGCCATGAAGAAGTTAAAAGGTAAATGGACCGTTAATTCGCTTTTTTGCTTTTCTTTCCATTTCTTTCTCTTTTTCAATCAATTCTGTACTTATTCCATCATCTCAATCTTTCTCTCTTGTTTCCTTCATTACTCCAGGCTTCTTTCCTAACTCTCCTTCCTTGCTTGTATTATTCCTGTCTTCTTTATTTGCTTGTATTATTGTATTATTCCTCTCTTCTTTATTYGCTTGTTTACTTCATCTCTCCTACACTTCACTCTATATTTCTGCTTTTGACTTCCTCAATTCCACTCCCTCCCTTCCTCCCTTTCTCATTTTCCATCCTTCCCGTCTATCTTCTGTCACTCCACTTCTTTACAATTCGTTTCTATCGTCATATTCCTTTGCTTGCGAGGCTCTCTTCATCSTTTTTCTTGTTCATCCAGCATTATAAAAAATGTACAATGTATGTTGTTTTTTTCAGAGGAGAGCAAACAATTTCAAGACGAAMGGGATAAGGCTTTTCAAAAACTTGGTAATTTGTCATTAAATACCGATCAGCTTGATACAAGGTAACATCAAAGTGAATTGCTTTGGTATCTGTTTGTCCTTTATAATGTATGAAACTTTCAGGGTGTCTGATCTTCAAAATGAGCTTGCCAATGAGCGAATGAGGTCAAAGGATATGGAGGATAAGCTAAAAGCTTTAGAGCAGCAACTTATTGTTGTCAACGGTGATCTTTCAAGAGTGCGGTATGTTGATTGCGTAGTTTGCTTTCTGAATGACTATATATGATACAATGTGATGGATACTTCGGTTCGGGTCTATACATCACAAGGGCGTAGTGTTGTCATTTTGACAAATACGCACGGCTTCGTAAAGACGAATTACATGTAGACGGCACAACTTTTGTTGCCTTCAACCTTCGCATGCTATCTACGTAAGTCATCCTTACAACATAGCTAGCACTGTTGCAGGACTATTACGTAACTGTCAAATCCAACGACGCACGTGCATGTGCGTATTTGCGTAATAAACGCTACGCCCAGCATGGAGGTTATAGATGATATGCATTTACTGTTTCGCTTTATGTATGACAGGAACGATAAAGATTCAATAGAAGAATCTCTAAATACACATGTAAGTATAACATTTTAGAGTGAAACAAAGTGTAATAATTAGAGTGTAATAGATCGTAATAGTCGCGTAGAGACAATAAAAAACAAAAGAGCAGAAGTGTAATAGCGATAAATACGCTAAAGTGTGTTTCACGGGTTAATGAAAATCACTCTATATGTCAACTATATATAAATACGTTTATTTTCATAATTTTTATATCCTTTGGGTATTATTGAACGGCGCAACACAGTCTTACGCATTACAACGTAATACAGCGCATATTGTAACTGTAACCGTATTGCGTAACGTATCATGATACAACGTAACTTAACACTATACGAATTGCGTTGAAATTACGATTTACCGTTAATGTATAATGTTACTTTATCCTATTACAGATAGAAACTAAAGAGTCATTAGAAAAGCTTCTTGATGAAATCAGAAGGTAAACATTTGAACCCCGCGTAAAACGGACACTATCGCGGCTAATTGAACATTCATACCTTCTCCCTGGTAAAACAACCACCTCATTAATACGGGCATGGTGGTCGGAATAACGAGGTTTCACAGTAGTTAGTTAAAGTGCATTTAAAGTAATTTTTTGTGCTTCCTAAAGATAGTATACCAATCATTAAATATGGTTTGTTTTTGAGGCGATTCAAGTTCAAAAATGGCCTCCTGTGCTTTTTGTATCGGGAGAGTCCTAGAGAGACTAGAGACAATAAACATGTGATGTAGCTTCAGTCAGATCAGTCTCGAAGTTTGCAGAGAAATAATAGCAAAATTCCGTCATTCAGGTTTGAATCTGACATTTTCGGGAATTTATATTCTAATGAATTATGTCACCAAGTTCTCATTAGCAACGATGCGCGCCAAAAAAAACAACTGACGGATGCTACGTCACGCTTAATGTAAAACACGGGAAGCCATTTTCTGAAGTTAATCGCCTCAAATTCAACCCACTATTTTGATTTTTGAACTTCTTTTTTTTCTTCAAACCATATTTAATGATTGGTGCACTTTCCTTAGAAAACACAAAAAAATTCCTTTATATGGACTTTGACAAGAAGATTGTTTGAGTGATTTTAGTATGCACGATTTAAAAGTAAAGGATCTGTGCAACACTTATATTTACTACTCTTGCAGGTCTCACACTGAACTTGACGTTCAGCAAGCACACCAAATACGTAAGAATCCTCTTTTGATAGTGTGGCTTTATTTAATTAGACATCATGTTTGTTATTTCGGTTTTTCACTTTAAACGGATACAAGTTCTCAGTTGTTTCAGTTGTGGGTTAAGACGTAAAAGAATGTACGTATTCGGTCCTACGTATACGTATGTACATAGTGTCGCTACGCAGGATAATAAAGATGTGCATCAATGACCCAAAACCAACAATTTTGTTTAAAACGTCTTTATATATCGAGCATAATACATAATTGTTTTCTCCATAGTAAGAATAAAGGAACTTGAGAACGAACTCGCAAGAGCAATGTCTAATTTAGCTATCGAGAAACAGAGAGTGGCTGGACTAGAGGTAAGTGAATGGCCAAAACTATTATCTAAACTGTAATGCGAAAAAAACCTAGATTGAAAACACTAAATTATGAAAAACTTGGGTGATTACGTAAACCGTACTATAATTTATGATAATTTCTTTTTTTATTACTATTGTCTGCTCTACTCCATTTACAAGTAATTGAGCGTAATTACATGGGCTTCCTGTGGAAGACCATGTCTAAAATTACCGACTATTGTCACTTCTTCGTTTGCTGATTGTGATAGCATAAGAAGCCCATGTAAACGATCGTTGATCGTCTAGTTTTCTTTACTTTCCTGGCATAACTCAAATATTGATTTTTTTAATTCTTTCTGTAGGAGTCTCTCCAACTATCGGTGAATAAAAACAGTGCTGATATGCAAGAGATAATCGATATGATTCCTGTTACTGACACACATATACCTAATACAAGTAAAACGGTAGGTTACGGCCAAAGTCCTCGCAGATTCCAGTTTGAGTTTTGATTTTACGCCCTTGTGACGTCACTCGTTTTTCGGTGTGATGCATTATGGGATTGACATTCGACAACAAGATTTAAGCTTGTACTTCTTATCAGTTAAAATACAACTTGAAATCTTGTAAATAAAACCGTCAGTCTTCTTCACGTTTCCCTACAACATTTTGAATGGTACAGATGTATATATCTTCATCTGTAGCTGTGCGTTTACTTTGAAGGGAGACGACCGTTGAGCGTGTAATTATAGACAYCTTTTCACAACAGCAGACAATTGTTCACAGGTTTCTATCATTGCACGCTCAACGATCGTCTCGATTCGATGCGACTACCTTTCAAGATGGCTCAGGCGAAGGAGACTATTGAAATCTTGATGCTTCATCAATACAGCGAGCCCTGGTTATTAACATACATCTTTGGAACGTATAAAGAAATCGATTTCACTAGTAATTTATTTKATTTTCTGCAATAACGAGGTGTCGGAGTCTTTAGTTCTAGAGAGTACTGTTTCATGATGAACCGCGCCGTAAATCAACGCCGTAAATCAACGTATGTCATAAAGCTTGAGGAGATCATAATTATTCTCATTACGTTTTATTATGATTTCAGCCACCAAAGTCCTCGTCTCCACGAGTTACTGGTCACGCTGTCAGATCAAGACTTCAAGAGTTTTTAAGCAATGTTAGCAACATATCTGCAATGAAGGTCAGTCGAAATCAATAAAAAGA